TCCTTTGCCAGTCACCCATGTTCAAAATCAGAGCACTTACATATCTTATTTTGCATTTTAATGAAGTAGTTGCCTAGTAACTATACCAACTAACCATATGCTGGAGAGCTAAAGAATGCCTTACTCACAATGCCCCTCCCCTCTTTGGCCTTAGCCATACAAAATAGGAAAAAAGGGGCATTCTACTATTACCAAAATTTACCTTTTATGCAGTAATGTTATAAAATCACCCAAATATAACATTTTTCATTTGATACAGTTTAGTGTAAATTCTTGAAAACATAAACACATTAGTTTAAAAAATTATTTAATAATATTCAAGAATAGAAATTTAGGTTCAAGAATTAATATGGAACAAAGGATGTGGATTGCTATGTAGAAAGTCTCTTACCAAAATGGAGAAGGGGAGGGTAATTTCCTGACACGTAAGAAGGGAAACATGGCAAACAGGATAGGAAACAAAATCTGGAAAGAAAAGTCAAGGAGAGGAATATCTAGAAAAGATTTTGAATCAAAAAAGGCATCTTGCAGGAAAAATATGGCAGCATTATCTTCAACACATAATCAGGACACTGTTATTTTAGCAACATCCATTCAATTCATTCAGGGGAAGAATCTGTGCTATTTTATTAAAATATGCCAAACTGTTCTGGGTGCATTTCTAACCACAGTAGCTGACTGGATCCATGATACTCTTTTTCCAGAAGTGTTGAAATTCAGCCATCTCTAAATAAAGAAGTAGATGACAGGGATTTTTTATTTCTACTTATTAAAGTATTACATGCATCTTCCAAAAGCACATCAAAGCTTTTCTGCTAGCATTTGGATTCTTGATTCCCCACAAATAGAAAATTTCACTATGCAAACTGAAGTCCTGTCCCATAGTGCTGAACAGAATCCATGCATGTACACAACATCAAAAACTTACAGAAATAAAGAACTTAAGTATGAGTATTTGTAACATTTATCTCAACTTTAAAAAGTTGGACTTAACTAAAATGAATGCCTCGTTTATAATTTATTAATTGGAATGCCTGGAAGACTGAATTAGTAGAGATTAGTAGTTAAAGTAGTTAAAATGTTAACAATACCAACAAAATGTTTACAAAAGTTACAAAGATATATTGTAGACTAGGAGCAAGATTATATAACAGTTTAAGAATGAAAAGGAAATATTTATATTGTAATACACAATGGGAAAAATAGCAGGAAAGAAACTACTGAATGACATTTGATAGCAATCCATTATTAAAAACTATTCAATTGCATGACCCAAATTATTCCTTGGGTCATGTATTAGGGAGAGCAATGCCTGCCAGATAGGCAAAACTTACCTATTTTATAACAGAATTTAATTAATAAAAGCAGAGTTAGCTGTTTAAAAGGTTTTATCTATAGTATGATCATTGGTGCCTGATACTATCATGAGAATGATTAAAGTATTTAAATGCCATATCTGTATACTACTAACATTCTCGTGTCTGTTTGTAACTTTGTTAACCTTTAATTGGGCAATTTTGGAAAGTGAATGGCAACAATGATTGAACCAAGGAACTGACTCCTATGGGAATTAAATATGGGAAAATTGTGGATGCTTCAATGCCACAATACCAACAACACTTCCCCAGAAGCCCATAGGTTGTGTGGCAAAAGGAAAGATTGTATTCCCACTCTCTTTCTCATGTTCCTCTGGCCCCTGTGCCCAATTGGCTGAATGGCTATTGGCTGTGTTAAAAGTGAGGCCAAAATCTGAAATCTCTTAGCAGCAGTGGCAGAAAGGGAAGAATGAGGGAATGACTCTGGAATGCCTGCTACAAGGTAATTGGAGATTAATTGGAGATTAGTTGGAGATTTCCCTAAGCCTACATTCTGGAAAGAGGAAGGACAAGGGAGGGACTGATGTGCCTGCTGGTAAGGTAGGACTGGCTGGGGAGGAGCACTGGCATTGATGGATGAGCCCCCTTCTTCTCCTGCAGGGAGGAGACCCTTGGGCACAGACCAGAATGGGGAGCAGGGGTTCAGTTGCTGTTGCGGTCTGTGACTTTCTTGGTTTCCTCTCCCCTCAGCAGTGGCAGGCAATTGATTGGAGGAAAAGGAGGCTTCACCAGAACTCTTCTCAGGGTTGTGAGGTGAAGGGGAAACTGTTCAAGCCTATATTATATGTGGAAAGAAGAGTGACCCAATACATCATGGGTTGCCTAGTATTTTGTTATATACAGATATTATATAGGAATGAGGCCTGTTGCTTTATTCCTCTGAAGGAAGAATCTCTCTCCAAAAAACACTCCCACCACAGGTGCCGGTGCCTGTAGAACTACTATCTACAGGTAGTTCTCGACTTACAACCACAATTGAGCCCAAAAGTTATGTTGCTAAGCATAAGACATTTGTTATGTGAGTTTCGCCTCATTTTTGACCCTTGTCGTCACAGTTATTAAGTGAATCACTGCAGTTAAATTAGTTGTTAAGTGAACGTGGTTTCTTCATTGACTTTGCTTGTCAAAAGGTCACAAAAGGTGATCATGTGACCCCGGGACTGCAACTGTCATAAATATAAGTCAGTTGCCAAGCATTTTAATTTTGATCACATGACTTTGGAGATGCTGCTATGGTCATAAGTGTGAAAAACGGTCATAAATCAATTTTTTCAGTGAAAAACTTTGAATAGTCACTAAATCAAATCTTATAAGTTGAGGACTAGCTGTACATTTTGCCTTAAGCTCAGTTGGAAAGGACATTATTGAGGTTTAGAGCAGAAGACAGCAATCCAGTCAGGTGTCGAGCAAGTCAGAAACCAGAAATATTTAGTAGGAAAATTAATAAATATTTACACTACTGCACTCATAAAACTTCAGTCCTTTGTACACATTCAAATTGGATTAATATATGCATATAATATATACATATCAATATACCAAATATTATTTATTTATATATATATATATATATATATATATATACCAAAATTGTTCATTTTTCCAAATATTAAAATAGATTATAAGTATACTGCAAATATGTACAAATCAAAAGTTATCAGCACTATTGCTAAAGTAGTAAATGATGTGTGCCATTGACATTACAGAACGCACACACACAGCAGCAAATCCTTTAAAATGATATTGGAGTAATCTAAACAGCAGTTTTATAGGGTTGTCTTGTAGAAAAATTGTTTCACTAGGATAAAATGTGTGTGTGTATAAATAAATACATGGGGGAAAGGAGAGGAGAAAGGAAGTTAACAAGGCAAATCAATTTCACTTTATAAACTGAGCAAAAAAACCCTACACCCGAGTACATGGAGATTAGGGGATTTCTTTTTAAAGAAAATAATTTCTTGTTTAAAGAAAATATACTTAGAAATATAAATGCGCAGATATAGCCAGATAGATTATGTACCACATCCCTTTAAGATAATAGATGATTTATAGCCCTGTAATTATTGGAACCTGTGTCGCATGAAAGAAGTTGTTTTCATGATTCTCTACAAACCCTTTTTAAGCTTGTCCAGGCAAACAGAGTTTTAGAACCCAAAGATGTATAGAGACAAAACCTGTTGCTTATATCTCCCTGGATCACTCTGGGAAATTCAGGTGAACTTTTCACACAAACATCCCCAATCAGACTGAATAACACTGGAACTGCAATAGTCAGAAATATCCCACAATTTCAACCCTATATGAAATCCTCAAAATCCGCACCAGGCCCAAAATCACAGAGAAAGCTTCCATACCTAAGGAAGAACTAGAAACTGGGCCTTCTTTCTCTTAGTCCAGCACCTTAACTACTACACTGCCCTTGTGCTCTAATGAAAATAAAGATTCTGAAGGAAATACCAACTCCAACTAATAACTTAGTAACTATGAAAGAAGCTTTGTGCTTTGCTTCAGTATTCTGATTTTGCTTTGCTAATATGATTCAGTTTATTCCTACTGGACCCTCAATTTGCTTATCAGATACTAATTTATTCCGCTGACTTCTGCAGACCCCTCCTGTCATTAGCATAAATAATGGTAATACAAAACCTGTGAACTATTTTAAAAAGCGTAAGATATTGTAAATCATTCCTTTTTAAATTTTACATGCACTGAACTTTAACAAAATAGATGCTTGAGACCTTCTTTTGAAGCACAATAAAATAATAGAATGAGTTCTATAATGTGAAAGCATTTATTTTAATGATTCTCTTTTCTTAAAAAATGCATTATACAAAAACATTTTTCCCATTATCTACTTGAAATGTTAACTTTTAATGGACATAAGCATTATCAATAGTATACAGTGCACCTCATTTCAGCTTTCCAATTATTGGAACAATTCCAAAATAAATTAATAAACAAAGAAACAAAGAAATTCCAAAAGGCTGTAGAGTCTAGTTGAATAACTATTTTTAAATAGTTCCAAAAGTCTGAGGTGGGGAAAATCTTGCAGTATTTTTAAAAATGAATATTTATTATGCCATAAGCAAGACGAAGTCCACATATGGAGATGGTGGACAACATCTGGAATTTTGAAAGGACAGAAACATCTGCAATTGAGAGTGAAAGCAATGGTGGATAAAAGACATCTATCAAAAGGCACACTTCAGGGCACTCTTTTTCAAGGCAGATGAGTACGTATCCAAGTAATGCACTGTGATGCAACCATCCATTATTTCTATTTTCTAACAATGCCTAAGGGATCCTAGGAGGTGATCAAAAGTAGCCTTATGATGATAGAATAATGCTAGAGCTGTCTGCTTTGCTGCAAGACAATTTCCTCTTTAAATTTGCCACTAAAAGTATAGAAAAAAGTACGAAGGGATTCTGAAGGCCATGAAGGGAAGTAGTTCAGATGCACTGATACCTATAGGTCCTTCTGCTACCAACCTCTATCACAGAGCTTTTCTACAACTGAATCCACTAGTATTCCTTTCTGAATAAATTCTTTATTCTTTATTGTGGTTTATTCTAATACTGTGTAGCAGAAAATTGAGATTCCTTATGTATACTTTTCAAATTTACCTGTTTCTTTCAAGTTCCGTAGTGCAGCTGAGTCTACCTCTACTAATTTTGATTTCAATGGTAACTGTTCAGAGTCTATCTTTGGTTTCACTGTTGGCTCAATTTCGGACTTTGGCCTCCAGGATGCAATTTCCCCATTTATCCTATGTTTGAAAGTTAAATAATGTTATCACAAATTAAGGAAAAAATAAAACATGTAACAAAATCTTTATATATGCTTTTACAAAAATTACATCAGTTTCTTCAAGAAATCAGTTTTTCAAATTGTGAGTTAGAGGCTGAGATATATGGAGAAACGCACTTCTTACACGTAGGTTTCCTCCTTCAGTTCTCTTTTATCTAACTGTTACTACAACTTATGATTTACACACTCAGCAATTTATGGTTTCAACATACTTTTGGGAAATAAAGTAGATAAATTATATTTCACTATCTGCATGTTTGAGCAAATAACAATAAAGAAAACAAACTGAGATGGCAGAAACAAGTGTGAATGTAAAAACTTATAGCATGTCCTCCCAATTTCAAAATGATTCTTTGGTAGAAAAGGATTATAAAAGGTAAAGAAAGATGCATTAATAGTTTGCAATATAGTTACATATGCAATTCTTATCATGTTCAGACTTTGTCTCACAGCAATTTAAAAATGGCATGTCAAAGAATTTCATGCACAAAATAAGATACTTACTTAGAAACTGATGGTTGCAAAACTGTTTTATCTGGCCATTTTGAAAGCAACATCCCACCTTTTAATATGCTATTAGCCTTGTTTGGAGGGACAGGTTTTTTTGGTGGTACTTGGGGAGCCACTGGTTTAGGTATCTTCTGATCCAACACTGGTTTTTCATCTGGCAACAAGTGAGAGAATAATATAACAATAAAAATAATGCAGAAATAATTTATGAAAGTTTCTTCCATGGGCATAGGCGGCTCTGAACAAATACCCCAGTTTGCATTCTGAAAGCAATTTCAAATAGGACAAAGACAAAAACAGCACATAGATGAATCAAGACCAAGGAATCTTCCTTCCTTCCTTTAGTTTACTTACTCAGGTTCATACATCTGCAACAAACTGTTTTTAAATGGATAAAAGTGGAATCCAGCATATTATCCATAAACTCTGTAAAATATTAACTTTCCCTGGCCACAGGATTTATTAGCAACATTTTTTTTTTTTGCAGAAAATCATGAATTTATATTCTTTAAAATGTATGAGAGCCAGTCTGGTCTAACGGTTAAGGCACCAGGAAACTGAGTTCTAATCCATCTTTTGGCAAGAAAGCTGGCTGGGTGGGTTTGGGCCAGTCTCTCTCTCAGCTCAACCCATAGGGTTGTTGTTGTGGGGAAAAATAGGAGATATGTTTACCATATCGAGTTATTTATAAAAGTAATAAAGGTAGGAAAAACTCTAAAAAATCTGTCTTGGATGGAGTTTAATTTTTTTTTATTGCCAACAAAATAAATTTTATACAACTCTTGGTTGCTTTAGAAAATCTATTTTTAATCTACATATGTCTATAAATGCTGAACAACATTTATAGTTAGTGTTTGCTATTTCAGGGATACACATATAGTTTTAAAATTGTAAGTATTATATGATGTTTTCCTATTAGCTCTTTTCTAACCACTCATATGCTTAATTTATACTAAAGTTGCTTTTTTTTAAAAAAAACTACAGTCCTGAACATCTATGTTTTTAGTATCAGGGGATAAACCTGATCTTACCTTTTTCTTCATTCCGGAGATGAGGAAACTTCTTCTCCACAGGCAGATCAGCCTTAGAACCTACAGATTAAAAATCATACTGCTTTAGTAGAGAAACTACTGCATGATAATACTAAAATGTATTGTACATCTATCAAATATGTGGCAGAACTAGAAATCCAATTAGAAGTGCTGACTAGCACATGAATTTTAGCCCTTAAGAACAAGAATTGTTTTATGGTTTAGCCTTTTAAAATTTATATAATTGAATGTATCATTAAAAAGATTTTAAACTATAGGAGAAAAATAGTTATACACTATCGCAAGGAAGTTTGTTCAGGATTATCTCATTTGTACTTATAGAAGTCATGAATTCATATATATAAATTATTGTATAAGTAAGTCACAATTAATATGAGTTTGAATAGTGCACGATTTGATTGTAATTTATCAAAAGGCTGTGACTAGCATATGAGCAGTTACCACTGAGATTGTAGATATGAATCTTTGTGTGCGCAAAATACAGAAGAGGACGTTTTCTACTTGAGAAAAGCTCAGAAAAGAAAATGCTCATTTTGAAGAAATACAGCAGAATACAAGATATACCATGTATACTTTGGGTATGGGCTTACTCTCTTTTGCTGTTAGATAGTGTTTCATGAATAAACATATAAAATATATTTAGAATTTTTAGTGGTGATTTCTGTTGAACTGGAACCAATTGTCTTATTTTCAGTGCAACTATTACTTTGGTGAAATCCCATTTCATGGATTTTGTTAACTGCACTGAGACCTATAGTATCTGTATACATAGCAGAAGGTGATGGCTCGCAAGAAGTCACATATTGTTTTCAATAATGAATTCTCTATGTTTCAATACCCTTTAGGTATGAATGGATTTCATCTGATAGGCAACATCTTAAAAAACAATAATTCTGATTGATACATTTTTTCACTCAAAATAGATTAATAATTTCCAATCAACTACAGTCTCTTTTGCAATTATGGTTAAATAAAACCCTATCTTACATACCTTGACTTTTTACAGGAGGTGGTGGTTTCTTTGGCTTCTGCAAAGAGAACAAAATATAATAACTAATATTCATGCCAAGAATTTCTTGAATTAAGATCCAGAAGGCAACAGGTAACTTGATTGTACTCTCTATAAATTACTGGTGCAAGGATTACAAATACCGTATATACTCGAGTATAAGTCGACCCGAATATAAGCCGAGGCACCTAATTTTGCCACAAAAAACTGGGAAACTTATTGACTCGAGTATAAGCCGAGTTTTTCAGCACATTTTTTGTGCTGAAAAAAAACCCCTTGGCTTATACTCGAGTGAGATTCCCTCTGAAAGAAAAATGGTGTGGAGCTCCGGAGCTGGGCAGCCGCTTTCCTGCTTCCGTGTTTCCTTTGCAACTTGTAAGCATGAGGGTAATCGGAAGCAGAAAAGTTCTTGCATGAGGATATATTGTTTTTTCTTTATTTAACTGTTTTTAGGGGGGGAAAAGACCCACCATCATGTGAGAATGCTCAGACACGAAATCTATCTGCCTGAAAATAAGTGTGTGTGTGTGGGGGGGGATTTTAACAGAGGGAAGACATAGGGAGAAGGCAAAAGCGACAGAAGATCCTTCAGGGGAAACTGAGGGGGAGACTCACCCTTGGTCCAGATGAGCCCCCTTCCCCGCCCCTAAGGAAGCAGAGGCAGCCAGCAAGGGCAGGCAAGCCCCGCTTCGCGGACTCCGTCCGTCCTCGTTCCCACCCACCCACCCAAAGCCAGTCAGCTCAGGAGGAGGAGGAGGTGGTGGCGGCGGCTCGCGTTGTTTTCTGAGTTCTAGGCTCATGGGCTCAGAAAACGCGAGCCGCCGCCGCCACCACCTCCTCCTCCTCCTCCTCCTCCCGAGCGGACTGAAAGCAGCTGGGGCTGAGGAAACGAAGCCGAGCGGAGCCGAAGCCACGCCTAGAGCTCAGAAAACAACGCGAGCCGCCGCCACCACCTCCTCCTCCTCCTCCTCCCGAGCGGACTGAAAGCAGCTGGGGCTGAGGAAACGAAGCCACCTCGGATTGCGTTGTTTTCTGAGCCTAGAGCCAGGGCGCTTTCATTGTACGGCGGAGCTTCTTGTTTCAGGAAACACCGGGCGTCGTTGCTGCCCCCTGAGGGGAGGGCAATTCTGGGCTGCGCGATTGGGGGACTTCGTGGCTTTGGGTGGGTGGGTGGGAGCGAGGATGGACGGAGTCCGCGAAGCGGGGCTTGCTGCCCTTGCTGGCTGCCTCTGCTTCCTTAGGGGCGGGGAAGGGGGCTCATCTGGACCAAGAGTGAGTCTCCCCCTCAGTTTCCCCTGAAGGATCTTCCATCGCTTTTGCCTTCTCCCTATGTCTTCCCTCTGTTAAAATCCCCCCCACACACACACACTTATTTTCAGGCGGACAGATTTCATGTCTGAGCATTCTCACATGATGATGGGTCTTCCCACCACCCCCAAAAAACAGTTAAATAAAGAAAAAACAATATATCCTCATGCAAGAACTTTTCTGCTTCTGATTACCCCCATGCTTACGAGTTGCAAAGGAAACATGGAAGCAGGGAAGCGGCTGCCCAGCTCCGGAGCTCCACACCATTTTTCTTTCAGAGGGAATCTCACTCGAGTATAAGCCAAGGGGTTTTTTTTCAGCACAAAAAATGTGCTGAAAAACTCGGCTTATACTCGAGTATATATGGTAGTTTTTTAGACAGACCAAAGTTTTTGAAAATGTTCAGGAAAATGATTGCTGAGAAGGAAGAGGAAGCAGAGAAGGCAGGAGGAATAAACAAACACTAGTAATTCTCTTTCTCCTCTATTTTATTTATTTGTCAAAACTGTATGCCATCCATCTTGCCAAAGGAGACTTTTCCCTCTCAGAAATCTCTTATTCTCCATAAGCAGAAATTTTATTACTACTCATCTGGAAATAAGAGAGTATCTGCAAAGTTAACTATTGTTATCTACACTTCTCCAGAAAAAGGTACAACTGACATAACAAAGATAATAAAAAAAATTGGTAGCTATCCAGGAACAAAAGAACAATGAATTCACTTTTTCAAGTTCATTGAATTGTATCTACAATAACAACTAGAAACCCATTTGAATTCTTTAAAAAAGCCCTTGTAACACAACATTCAGAACATTTCTTGGGGCTTGTCTACAACTTGCTGGTGAAATGCAATTAAGCAACTGAATAAATTAGACTGATTAAAAAATCAAGAATTTTGAAGACAACATTTTGCCCTTAGCGATTTTTTTAACTACTTTGAACAGTTTGGTATCATTAATGCCATTTTACCTCTAACTTTAGATTGCTTATAAACACTTAATTAGCATTATTCTTGATACCAGATCCTGTATGAGATTACCCTGAACGTCTCTTTGATGTGATTATTTTTCATTTACTCTACCACTAGTCTCTGGGGTACCTGTCAAAATTTGCAATTCTGTAAGTTTATTAAAGTCATTCATAGAATTCCAGGTATACAATATGTATTGTAATACTTTTACCAAATACTTATCACTAGTACATGTTGCATTTATTAATTCTTTACATATATACATTGTTCTGTATGCTTTAGAAATATTTCCATAATCCCTAGTCACCACATCTTCTGATAACTCAAAAATGCAGTTCAAAAGTAACTTATGGCTTACTAATAAGCCAGGAAGAAAATTTAGATTTTTATAAGTTTAATTTTGCTGAGGGTTTTAAGAACCCAAGCAGGATCTTTATTTGAAATATTAAAATATTTCAAAGCCAAAAATGAAAGTACTGACATTATTATAGGTATGCATCATTTTGGTTCACTTTTCCAAAAGAAGCTTCAGAGTAATGGGAGTGCAAATGTAGCATTTGTCTACATGACCTCAAAGCAGTACAGATGTATGATTTAAGATCAAGAGCATTTGTTTTCAAAAGTTGAAGATGGGTTGCATCCATAGCCCTGCACATTTTGAAGCAATTTTTGAACACTGAATTTGAAATGCTGAACAGTGCTAGTAATAGTGTTTGTCTCAATCTTCCAAGATCACTTCATTGCTCTTCATAACAAGCCTATGAGAAAGGTTAGACCACCTGATAATGACTGGACCATTATGTCACCCAAATAAGATTTCTCCAAAGAGCTCCATTGTTATGGCAATGCTATATTAACAGAACAATTGCAAGGCCAAAAAAATTAAATGAGGAAAACAGAATGTCAAATAATGGAAAAAGCCTGGGACACCATATATATGAATCTATAAAACACAAAAAAGCTAAAACTTTTTAAAAACTGCAATAAGTACTTACAGGAAAATCTTTATCAGAGTCATGAATCTGAACTGCAAAGTTGTCTGGAAAAACTCCTTCTTTGCCATTAAGAATGCCTCTCCACCATCCTTCCTCCCCAGTGTCCTAAAACAAAATTACTAAATGTATATTCATTTTACACAACAAATAAATGTTCAGGCTTCATCTACCAACCCAGCTTACATTAAATTGCAGTTTTTTAAAAATTGAGTTACATATCACACTTAGCCATTAATTATGTGCTAGTTTTTAAGACTTAATATAAGATATACGCATGATCACTGAATAAACAAGAATTTGCTCTAGGACCATAAACCAGATTGGACATGGTTTGATGTTGGCTTACTGGCTGCAAATGTTACTTTGAAAGCAGTGCAAATGATTATGCGTAGTTTGTGCTTCCTGATTTCATTTTTTTTTTTGCCATGAGCATATCCTTGCATAGAATGAAGGGATAAATAAGGAATAAGTGAAATAAACAATGTTTTGCCTGCCTATAAATCTAAAGCCTGATTTGTCTTAGTTTCTTTGCTTTTGACTTGAGCGATGTGTGAATCACTCAAGTCATGAATCCATCATGGCTTGGTCAAAAATCATGGTTTAAAAGTATCCCCTAACTTTGTATTAGTGTGCTCAGCTATAAAATGTTCATCACAGGTATGGCAAATATTTATACTATGTTGGAAGGCATCCCATGTTAATTAATGCCAAGCCAATGCTTTATTCTTTTAAGTAACTTTCTTGCTACTTGATTCTCTCCTTCTCAAATGTTAAAATGTAACAGCTAACCAAAAACTTCCTTTGATAACCGTTTCTAATTCAGTAAAGGATTGTGCTGGAACTCTTTCACTATATGTAGAAAAGCAATATCCTCACACCAATATTGTTTGTTACTTACATGCAGACACTTCATTCCCTCATATGTCAGCTTCTCTAGGTACTTAGAAAGTTTCCATTTTATTCCACGCTGGTAACATAGTTATACTCTCAATAACAAGAGTTGAGCTGAAATAATGTTTAAAAAGCTAGGGCATTACACAGGCAGTCCTCATTTAGTAATCACAATTTGGGAGGGACGGCACTATTAAGCAAAGCATTCACTAAGTGAGTGTACTTTCCTTTGTTTTACAGGCCTGCAGAGTTCATAAATGTGAGCATTAGTACTTTTTCATTGCTGTCATAACTGTGAACAGTTGATAAACAGGGGCTATCTATATGTGCATATAAACTTATGTAGATATATAGCATGTGTACGTATATCATTACCTCATGAAGTGGTATGATATGTTCAATTAAGTATTCATACTGGTTGGATAGCCATCTCTCCAAATTGTTTTAGCAGTTCTACGCTGAGCAGGAGATTTGACTACATGACCTTTGAGATCTCTTCTAATTCTCCGATACTTCTTATTTCATTGATATTGCTTACATAAACCTCCTTCATTTTGGTAAATATAACTGAAAAGAACTACTGCTACAGATACAGTAGATGCTTATCTATGCTATGTATGTCGAGGACTGATATTTAAATATAAACAGCACTGGTCTACAAATTTTGGGAAATTATTGGCCTCCGAGATAAAAATGTGTTAATTTTATATATTTTGATTAAATGAATTAGAAAACAGATGATAAAGGTGCTGGTTGGCTAAAGTTTTCAAGATATTTCACAATAAAGATTTATACACAGGTGAGTAGATTTGCCTACAAGGGAGGGAGGTGTCTAATGATCACGATGCCTCATAATTTCTTAACAAAGTATGATAGAACAATGAAAATGGTACAACATGGAAGTATATAAATTTATCTTCATTTTGAGAACAGCAAGGCAGATAACTATGAAAAACACGTGGAAAATTTGCTTAGGTCCTATAAAGCACTTGATGTAAACATGTCACTGACAATTCACTCCTTACACTCGCATGTAGACTATTTCCCTTTGAACTGTGGGACATGTGTGATGAGCATGGGGAGAGATTCCACCAGGATATTGCAGGCATGGAGAAAGGACACCGAGGGAAATGGAGTCTGTCCATGCTTGCTGATTATTGCTGGAATCTCTCCAGGATGACCCTACTGCAGTTCACAAGAGAAAAGCCAAACTGCACAGTTTAGATACTGAATGAAGTTGGAACCTTGTCATTTAATCTTATCAGTTTTTCATGCAAAAAGCATGTTGTTACATGAAAAACCAATAAACAAATGGAAAGTTATGTTGTTGGTATTAATAAAAAGACAAATTTATAATGATAAATTTGGCACCATTCTCATTGCTATACCACATTTTGCAGAAAAGTTATGGAGCCTTGTAATTTTGAATTATTTTGATGCAATTTTGACCTGAAGCTGTATCTTGGAAATTGGAGCCAATTAATACTCAGGACTTAATTTTCCTTTATTAGTGATCCAATTTTGGTAAAATTAAGCTACTTTCATTTCCGAGGCTTTCTCCTTTAGACCATTGTAACTTACCTTACTTATTATTTGGATAACATCACCTTCTTTAAAATTAAGTTCATCTCCATTGGTACCTTCATAAGCAAACAAGGTTTTGCAGTATTCTTTAGCTTAAAGGAAGGAAGGAAAATTGTGAACACTGAGCACATTCCAATAGTTGTTGCTTGAATACAAATGTCTACATTTCATAAGAAGTAATTAATGGGGAGAGCAGGTGACATTTAAAGTGGAATGTCTATTGAATCTGAATGGGATCCTGCATATGCATATGGAAGTTACTGAATGTTATGTATATGGATTTTATGCATGCATATTTTACTCATGCATAAAATCACTGATAAAATTGTGGTAATGCATACTGCAGACATGAGTCACGGAGAGATTCTGCCCATTGCATTCACAGTCCACTAAACCACAATCACTTCAGTCAAGGGTTTACTATATTTTATGTATTTAATTTGTATTACTTTAATTACCATCAATTATTTAAAAGCTATACTAGTAAAGGATACAGAATCACTCCACAAAATAATTAGGAAGACATAGGAAGAGTATGCATTTAGCCTTATGAGCAATTGAAATAAGACAAGGAAGTGGCTGAGGAACAATAGCAATTAAGTTATTGAAATGATTTACTGAAGTCCTTAGTTCAGAAAAGACAAAGGAGAGCTAATCAAGGGAAAATATAACATTCTACTAAATAAACCAAGATTTATAATGGAAAATCATGATTACATTTTTGCTACACAAGCTAATAGAATAATCTTGGGAGTCTTATGCAGCAGAATGTGATATATTTACAAGCAGTAAAGAAAGAAATTGCTATCAACTATCTTCACCAACACTAAAATGAGACTGTTGCTTTGATGCCTTGTCATGCTTAAGGTATTTCAGCTGTGAAGGTAAATGTGCAGGATTATACCAATCAAACATAGCAAAGTCATATGAAAGTTACTTTTAGGATTCCTCACTCTGGTTGTAAGAATATTTTCTTCAAAAAACCAGTAATGAATTATCTACCTTCTGAGAAATCAATTTTTATCAAATATTGCATATTAAATATTTTAAAATTAAAATAAAGTAGATATAAAATCATACCTTTTTGTTTGCTTTCCATTTCTGCTGCCATTTCTGATTTTGATGTGCAGTGGAATGAGGTTACTTTTGGTCCTGATGGAAGATTAGGTAATGGCTACACAAGAACACAGAAATAAAAACAAGAATTAGGCAATTGCCAAATGTATTTTAATTTGTGATGTCTGAATCACTTCAGAAAAATAAATTGTAACTTATAAAATTACAGAACAAAAAGTTAATAACACACATTTCTTTTATTTTCAATGCATTTCAATGCAATTAAACATATACTGCTTCTAAATGAAAATATTATCTTAACTATTGGAAAGACCAATAATAGGCTGCAAGTCAAAGCATATTTTATTTAGATATAATCAATTTTCTGAGCCAAACTTCAGATTTCTGTTGATATCAGCTCATCTTCTCCAAATTTAGCACATTAGTATATTTCATCTTTATTAGCATTCCAAGTTTTATATATTAGGTGTTATTAATGTGTATTAAAGCTTCAACACTACTGGAATAACAATAGCTTCATCTAATGACAGAGGGGAACACTAAATATAAAAAATCATACAAAACAGACAAGGCAGAAAAAACCTTTATACAACTGGAAGGAAATTACACGTGACAATACAACAAAGCTCTACTACCTGTGAAGGACTTCTAAAGTCTGTTTTACAAATGTTCTTATATTAGAAACCACAATTACACCTGCCAAAATATAGATACACAAACATGTATAGAATAGAATAGAATACTTTATTGGCCAAGTGTGATTGGACACACAAGGAATTTGTGTAAATACTCTCAGTATACATAAAGAAAAGGTACATTCATTAAGAATCAAGAATCATAACATACAACACTTAATGATAGTCATAGGGTACAATCAACAATCAAATCATACTAGGAAACAAGTCAATATAAATCGTAAGGATACAAGCAACAAAGTTACAGTCCTACAATCACAAGTGGGAGGGGATGGGCGATAAGGAGTGGTGAGAAGATTAACAGTAATAGTAGTGCACACTTTGTAAATAGTTGAACAGAGGGAATTATTTGTTTAGCAGAGTGATGGCTTTCGGGAAAAAATTGTCCTTGTGTCTAATTGTTCTGGTGTGCAGTGCTCTATAGCATCGTTTTGAGGGAAGGAGTTGAAACAGTTTATGGCCGGGATGTGAGGGGTCTGTAAATACTTTCACAGCCCTCTTTTTGACTCATGCAGTATACAGGTTCTTGATTAAAGGCAGGTTGGTATTAAACTGTTTTTTCTGCAGTCCTAATTATCTTCTGAAATCTGTGTTTATCGGGTTGCAGAACCAAACCAGATAGTTATAGAGGTGTAGATGATAGACTCAATAATTCCTCTGTAAAACTGTATCAGCAGCTCCTTGGGCAGTTTGAGCTTTCTGAGTTGGAGCAGAAAGAACATTCTTTGTTGTGCTTTTTTGATGATGTTTTTGATGTTAGGTGTCCATTTTAGGTCATGTGATATAGTAGAACCTAGAAATTTGAAGGTCTCTGCTGTTGATACTGTGTTGTCTAGTATTGTAAGAGGTGGTAGTATGGGAGGGTTTCTTCTAAAGTCTACCACCATTTCTATGGTTTTGAGTGTGTTCAGTTCCAGATTGTTCCGGTTACACCACAAGGCAAGTTGTATAATCTCCTGTCTGTATGCAAATTCATCGTTGTCTCGAATGAGACCAATCACTGTTGTGTCATCTGCAAGCTTTAGGATTTTAACAGATGGATCATTTGAGGTGGTCATTGGTATATAGGGAGAAGAGGAGATAGCACACAGCCTTGGGGAGCCCCTGTGCTGATTGTACAGGATGTGATTCCGCCTAGCTTCACCTGCTGCTTCCTGTCTGTTAGGAAGCTTATGATCCACTTACAAGTGTGTTCAGGTACCGCTAGTTGGTTTAATTTAATTAGAAGAGTGTTTGGAATGATGGCATTGAATGCTGAACTGAAGTCTACAAAGAGGACCCTTGCATAGGTATTTGGAGATTCAAGGAGTTGTGGGATGTAATGCAGAGCCATGTTAACAGCACCATCTGTCAATCTATTTGCTCGGTATGCAAACTGCATGGGTTCTAACAGCGGATCCGTTATGGTTTTCAGGTGGGACAGCACAAGCCTTTCAAAGATTTTCATAACTACAGATGTTAGAGCAACTGGTCTGTGGTCATTCAGTTCCTCGATGGAGGGCTTCTTTGGCACTGGGATGATGGTAGAACGTTTGAAGCAGGAAGGAACATAGCCCATCTCTAGTGATCTATTGAAGATTCGGGTGAAAATGGGGGCCAATTAGTCAGCACAGACTTTTAAGCAAGAAGGTGTTATCTTGTCTGGCCATGGTGCTTTTCCTGGCTTCTGTCTGTGTAATAGATCTTGCACTTCTTTTTCTGTGATCACCAGAGGTTGTGAGCCCAATGGATTGGGGCTAATTGTAGGAGGCTTGGTTGTTGTTGGTGTGTTTGAATGTGGGTTGTGGAGATAGGTGGCTGTAGTTTCTTTTCAAACCTGCAGTAAAACACATTCAGGTCATCTGCTAGTTGTTGATTTCCTTCTGCCTGGGAAGGTTTGCTGAAGCCAGTAATGTTTTTAAGAGTTTTCCACATGTTTGCTGGTTTATTTGTTGATTCTTTAACTTTTCAGAGTAGCTTCTTTTTGCTGCTCTGATCTCTCTTGTTAATATGTTTCTGGCCTGGTTGTATAGCATTCTGTCACCTTTTCTGTAGGCTTCCTCTTTGGAACGACGTAGCTGCTTAAGTTTAGCTGTGAACCAACGTTTATTGTTACTATATATTTGCAGGTTCCTTGTTGGTACACATAAGTCTTCGCAGAAGCTAACATATGATGTTACAGTATCTGTGAGCTCATCTAGGTCTGCAGAGGCATCTTCAAAAACATTCCAATCAGTGCAATCAAGGTAGGCCTGGATTTTCAGCTTTGCCTCATCCGACCAAGTCTTCACTGATTTAATTGTATAAAGTGTTTATATATAATAAATCCCAATAACATACTTGAAGACTTAAACATATTTAAAAAATAGATTACATCTAAGAAGAAATCTGTGCTGCCTGAAGTGCCCAACATATAATCAGGCTAGGCGAGTGCTTTCATATTCTTCCTTTAGAATTTCAAAAATCTAGTCAAACTATGGATGATTCCCACCCACTCACCCCCAGCCATTTCTACTGCCATGCCCATGTGCTATTTTACTGATACAGACATGAACAGGCATTTGAAAGCTTTTGCTTCCTTTTAGTGACTTGTCCATTCAATTTGTATGCTGCCTGACTGTGTTCTCCCAATGTGTTCTTTGCTGCAGCATGCCATATTCTTCAGACCACCTCTTTTTAATTAGGATAAAGTTTTCAAATGATAAGTTTATGCAGCTGGATTTTTAAAAATTGTATCCTATTTTTAACTCAGGGAGGAAAGTAGGTATCCACAGGAAAGTAGGATCCACAATGGCAACTCGCAAGAGGGTTTGGGCTAGGAGAGTCTGTGACAAAGTTAGAGAGCTTCTGTGGCTGAGGATGGACTAGAACAGGGCTGTCAAACTCCTGGCCTGCAGGCCAGATTCATCATGCGCTGGCCACGCCCACACTCAGTTTAGTGAAGGGGCAAAAAGTCCCAATATGTCATGTGACAATGATGTGATGACGAGAGTTTGACACCACTGGACTAGAACATAGATCTTCCTACTCCTGAGCAAAAAGACCATACTGGCTCTCAAATTTTCCCAAATTATGCTTAAGAATAGAATGTTAAAGATCTGGAGAATATGACAAACTGCTTAACATAAAAGGCATCAATGGGATGCATTTTACAGCCACTGCTGCAGAATAATGTTACCTATGAAACAGCAACTCTTAAGAGGAGGCAGAATAAACTTCTTCAAAAAAATAAACAATCTTGTTTTTATAAGTGCACAAAGTACCAAGCTTTTTATCACAACATATACAATCGCTCCATTTTTAAATGTGTATCATTTAGGCTCCATTACCTTATCTTGCTTTTTTTCTTCTGAATCATTACTAGACAATCTTGGCTTAAGTTTTACTGAGCCTTCTTTGAAAATGTCTCCAAACCCAACTCCTCTAATTTTCTTTGGTTGTGCTATCTGTGGAGACTCACTACCATTCCCTGGTGAGGTTGCAGGAGACTGTGGTCCATGAAAAACAGATTCTAAAAATGGAAAAATTAGGTTAGCACTTATGTTTATGCTTAAGCATCCACACAGGACCCACTAAGTATGTGTTAGCATTGGGATTTTCAATGCAGGATATATTACATTGTAAATTAACCACCTCAACAAACTAATTATAGGTCTCATTATGGTACCTAGTTTATATTATACTTTTATTATGGAGGCTCTTTGTTATGTTCATATTTTAGCTCAACCATTTGACTTTATTTTTGTACTGTATATAGTAGTCCTCAAGTTGCGATGGCAATAGGGACTGGGATTGTTTTGCTAAATGATGTGGTTGCAAAGCACATCAGGTGACAGCATCACTCAGTAGCAATCCTGGCAGTTTTCACTGTAACCCCAAGAAGTGCAGGTTGTGAAATGGGAAGCAGGTATGGGGGCCAGGAAGCCCAGTGCAGGCCATGCAGAACCACAGGGAGGGGAGAGGGTGCAGTATTGTGCAAGTGCAGGGAGGCCTGAAGTTTGAAACCAAAGCTTACACAAGGCATGAGAATGAAAAGTTATCTATTCTGAGACAATCGGGGTGTTTTCACAAGGATCTCCAGCTTTGTCTCAGTTCTAACTGTTGAGGTTCCATTACATCAGAGGTCTCCAAACTTGGCAGAATTCTGGGTGTTGAAGTCCATAAGTCTTAAAGTTGCCAAGTTTGCGGGGGGGGGGCGCATTACATGGTAACCTTTCTCCTTATTACTTGTATAAAGAAATGAAACACTAGAATGGGGCAAACAGATAAAGATAACAGGAAGAGAAAAATTCACCATAACTTGTATTTTTCTGCTTTTTGATTGAACATGTCTTCAATCTGAGTATTAATAATTTACATCAATTAGGACACAATTAGACATACTATTCAAATATTGTAAGGATAAAGATGTGGAAGCATTAAAATATTTCTATATTTCTACAAGTGTATACATAAATTCTTAACATCCCTAATTTTATAAGACACAAACATATTTATTTGGCAGTAACTGTATCATACATATATATTTCATTAGGGCCATTCAATCAGAGGTACACAAGTTAATTAAAATCTCATTATCATGGTTAAATCTGGTGACAGGCCATATTTTATATGTTGGTACAGCCTGAGCCCCAAGTGAATACTGTAGCCCTTACTTCAATTTGATTATCTTCTTCAAATGTGATTCTCCCCTCCCAAGGCTATATGTGATATGGAAGAAATATTAATAATTGCAATTAACCTATTCAGGAATGCGGCTTGGAGACAATCCAGGAATAACCTAACCACAGATGAGTCTATCTATCCTTGACATATTTAATCAAATGTAGTAATCCTTAATTATGCTATCATGACAGGGCTGTTGATCAAAAAAAGGTGGATCTTACTAAGACTATACAGTAACATGTGCAAGTTTGCTTCCAAACAATGAGGAACCTCATATAAATTCGAATTTTTCAAATACTACATATGTTTAGCTTTGAGCAAACTCTATCTCTAAATGGACTAATAAATGTGCTTGAGATTAAGCATGACATGCAATTAACTAAAATTATTCTTTAACTGCACTCCATATAAATGATACTATTGATAATTTAGAGTAATAGTAGTTTAGAACTGCCCAATTCCAGAATGACTCTGTGAAGTGTACTCTTTAAAAATAGAAAACAATTTAAAAAATAATATGCATCTGGACAAACCATATTCTATAGCCAAGAAATACAATTAGCAGGAGCTCACAAGACCTTACTCCAAGGCCATGCTTTTAAAGACATCCAGAACATCATCCAAATGGGAACTATGGGGGAGTAGCATTTCAGAAGACAGGTGCTACAACAAAGAAGGTATGGGTCCTAATAGATGGAATTAACTGAGATCAATCCAATCAGGCTGAGAAAACCATGGGAAATAGGCAGTCTCTCAAATAACTTGGTCCTATGCCATGCAGATATATAGGTGGTTGCTAGCCTCTTGGCTCTCTGAGCAAAAGATGTGAGTCCCAGAAAACCGCAAGCTGTTCACTAGTGCAAGTCTACTTAAGACTAAAGAAGACTCCAGATCTGGGAAAATGAAAAATCCACAACTACTCAATCCTGGCATAAGGGAGCCTGGATTTCTTCTTCCCGATCCAGACAGGGCCAGGACACTGAAACTCGCTTGGCTGGCTAGAAATGTACACCTAAATATTTTTTTAAACTTTTTATTTATTTTATTTGGTTTGTCAATTGCTTACAAGATAATAGGTATAAATAAAAACATAGTTAGGAATACTTGGATACATATAAGAAAAATAAAAGAAACAATAGGACAGGGACGGTAGGCACGTTGGTGCACTTATGCATGCCCCCTACAGACCTCTTAGGAAAGGGGTGAGGTCAATAGTAGACAGTCTAAGGTTGAAGTTTTTGGGGTTTGGGGAAGAAACCACAGAGTCAGGTAGAGTATTCCGGACATTGATCACTCATATTGATGAAGGATGTGATTGGGGTGAATTATATGGGTGCACTGAAATATGATTTGCATTTTCTTTTATATATATAAAGGATTTGTATGGCTGTCCATGTTAAACAAATCTGAGTTGGTCACAACAGCAATAAAATCCAATTACTACAAAACATAACCATAAGACCATAAAATGGTCAAACAAAAACCACCACCTTGATCATGCCCTTAGGGTGTCCTGCAGCCAATTCCAATTACCCTTATTCTATTCTATGTACTCTATTCTATTCTACTTCAGCACCTGGGTAAAAGGCCATATTTTGATAGTTTTCCAAAAATTCAAAAGGGTGGGGGCTGCCAAATCATCGGGGGTGGGGGGGAGGTGTTCCATAAGGTCCGGGCATATTCCTGAGATACCACTGTGGCAGGATTTCAGAAAAGGAACCTGGAGGGTACCTATCCTATCTAATCTGGAGACAGAGGCAAATATTTTTTAGAAAGAGGTTGTCCTGCAAATGGTCAGATCCCTTGCCCTTTAAAAGTGATATCCAGCATTCTGAACTGTACCCAGAGGAAGCTGGAAATCAATTCACTTCATGAAACAGAGGTGCAATGTGGGCAAAACCTAGCAACATCCAATACTGTGTGCATCTCCGCACTCGGGACCGGTTGAACCTTTTGAGTGGTCTTCAAGGGCAGCCCCTTGAAACACACTGCAGTAATCCATTTTACTTATGCATTTTACTGTATTTTTAACATATGATCTTGTTAGTATTCTGTATCTTGTACTGCCTAATGGCTAACCAGTAAAGTATTGCATGTACCAGACTCCAAACTGATGGATGACCTCTCCGTGCAGTTTCATGTAAATGGTAAACAGAAGGAGAAAGTATTGATTCTTAAGGCATCTCATAGTTGAGGGGCAGAGGGTGCCATCTTGGTTGGACTAGAAGGCCACCAAGGTCTCTTTCAGCCCTATGATTCTATGATTCCTGTCAACGCCAACTGGAAGTGACTGCTAGGTAAAGGAGGAGAATCACCACATTACAGGGCCTTCACCTTCTAAGCGCTACAGTTGGTGCCTAAGGACATCATGATCAACAGTATCAATAGATACTGAGAAGATCAAGGACAGCAAGAATTGCATGCAACACTCCATCCTGGCTCCACCAGGTCATCAGCAAGTATGACCAATGCTTTCTTTGTTTTGAATCCCAGCATGAAACTGACAAAAAGAAATCCAGACAACTAGTCCATCTTCTGATTGCTTGCATTTTATTACCTGTGTCTTCTAAGCTTTCTTGTGCTTCTCCATCATCTGTTATCTCTATTTCTTTTACAAAGTTAGAAGGAAAAAGGCCTGTCTTGCCATTTAAAGTCCCACTCCACCAGCCTTCTTCCACCTGTGGAGAAAAATGATGTTGAATTATCCCTAACATGATATGTAAAGAAGCTCACTGTTCTCGCCATTAGAGCAAAAATACCATCAGAGATATACAGGAAATCAGGGGTATATTGAATATGCAGGACTAGTACATATATACTTAAATGGTCAGACCATGACAGGCAAGGAATAGTGATGTTGGACAAGGAATAAATCACTCACAAATGGATAGAAATTGCTCTACATAATCATATGACACTAAGAAAACAGAGCAGTGGGTGATAACCATTCTGTTCAACTTTACACTGAACATAAAGTATGACCAAGTATGTTACAAATAACAAAGCAAAGACTATTTTAAGAAAACTGACATTCTGGGCCAATGTCTTGCAACCAGAAGAGACAAAATACTACTGTCTGGTGGCAGTAAAAATTGGAGAAAAAAAGAATGATCTTTAATTTTCTTTTCCCCTAGATCAAGGGTTTTCAAACTCGGCAAGTTTAAGACATGTGGACTACAACTCCCAGAATTCTTGAGCTAACATGATTGGAGGAGGAATTCTGGGATTTGAAGTCTACAAGTCTTAAAGCTGTGTAGTTTGAAGACCCCTCCCTTAGATTAGTAACTGACTGAAAGTTCTAAAGAGGCTGAAAACTACTAAGCAGAACGTTTAGAAGATAAGCTTAATGAAAACTCTTAGAAGGCTGAGAACTGTTTCAATGACTTGTAAAATCTGTAGCACATTTGTTTTTCCTGAGGATGTATGTATGTGCTTTTGAAAAATCTGCAACACAAGGACTCCTAATTTAGTGACCACAATTAGCACACTGGCAACTCAGTGACTAAGTGATGCAGTTACTAAAAAGAAAAGTATGTGACTGTTTCTGTGCTTACAATTTTACTTCCTTTTTCCTTACTCTCTTACATTCCTTTTTCCTTACTTCCCTGCCCTTTGGAATGCTCAAATCAGCACTAGGATAATTAGCAAGAAGGAAATTAACATTGGTATTTACATTCAGAGGAAGGGATTACAAGAGAGTAAACAGGCACACAATGGGGAATACACATGGAAAGGAATGTGCTAGCAGCAGCTATCTGCCTAATGCATTTGTGGCTTCAAGTATCCATGGTTAGGAGGCAAACAAAAGCCCAAGGTGTGAAAATGATTAATGTCTTGTCAGTTATAGGCAGCAGCTGGCAGCCAGATAATTAAGGTAAGAGAGCTGAGCTTGTTGCAGTTAGCACCTTTTGGGAAAGCACTGCAGAGAAAAACAGCTCAGGAAGAGATCAATTGTTTAAGCAATCTGTTGGGGGGGGGATTGGAATCAGGTGCAGGACAATGTGTACTAACTATAATGGCAAACACTGACCAAGACAAACATATTGAAGATGGTCAGTGCCCTGGTCACAAAGTTGGTCAGTGCCTTGGTCACAAAGTTATTTTTTTTTCAGCACCGTTGTAATTCTGAAGTCACACAAGCTGTTGATAAACAAGCTATTTATATAGAATCAATTGTAGTCTATCTTTTTCACAGTGAAAGCAACAAAGAAATGAATATAACTAAAACAATTAATTTTTACTCCATTTATACTACTGTAGAAACTTGAATTTGGTTTAGGTGGTTCTTTAAATTAAACTGAGAGATACTTCTAGGTCAAAATAGATATTTGGGTCTCCCTAGACTTAACAGTAGGCATTGTAGAAGGAGAACTATATTAAGTCAATGGCAGACAAAAATCAGATGTGTTTGGCACCTTTTGAGACTAATACGTTTTTATTAAAAAGTGTAAGTCTTAATAAGCTTCTCATTTCTAGTATTTTAATTACTATAGTAAATCTGTATATAATAACACTATCAGACCAAACTTTCCTATTTCAATTTTTCAGAGTCCTTCAAGCATATGTCATAAATAAGGACAATAATAACTGTCATTAATTGTAAGATAGAAATCTTCAAGCATTGTCTTTTCAATAGTTTGGAATTGTAATAGCAAAACAGACATTTCTAGAGTTTAATTCAATTATGACTTTCAGATTTTTCATAAAAAATATTTAAAGTAACTTACCTCTTCATTCATATCTACAACATCACCTACTTTCAGTTCTAACTCATCTTCGTTCTGAGGAGTATATTCAAACAGAACTTTACATGGTCGCTTTTTTGACCCTGTTGATAATAAGAAAAGATATTTAAAATAAAAGTTTCATTAAAACATCAAGTTTCTATTGTTTAAGATTAAGGATACTTAAATGGTAAGAATAGATGTAGAATGTTCATTGCTATATAAAAGAAATAAACTGATTTGTAATTCCTTTAAAATTATACATATATTTTGACATAAAATTTGTAGCATACTATCCTCCCAGATTTAACACAGGAATTTAGAGTCTTTGGCACAAAGTACTGTAAAAGGCTTCTGCTCCAAACCTAAAGAAGTATCAGCCCCTTTCTCCAACACAATGTTCTGTGTTGTGTTGAAAGAGTTGTGGATGATTGTTTCCTTTCCCTCCAGAGAAGTAACTCCATGCAGGATTTATTAAGGAGCTTATCACTCCCAAATATGCAGACACAGAGAAAAGCATAATATAAGCAGAACAACCTCAGGCACATGGAAAGAATTCCTTTTTCATTCTGCAAGGAAAAAAGACCGAAGTACTTTAGGGAATGACTTTCCCTTCTTGAAATCCCACCAGAGATGTCAGCTAATCAATCAGAGATGGATGGAGAGAATTTGGACTGTGGATCATGTTAGGAATGTAAGTCACCTAACAGGTATTTGGGTTAGAAATATATAAACCAGGATAGACATTTTAATACTGTCTCTTTAAGAGAATCCTAAAAGTGTAATTGGGTGTGGTTTCTCAAACAGCCATAAGATGGAGCCAGAAACCTGGGTTGTTTAGTCTTAGTCTCAGAAGAGAGTATGTCTCAGTGAGTCTCTTTTTCCTTCTTTTGAGGAGTATTGTCGTTCCTCCATTTTTCCTAATTGACTGCTATATTCTTGGATTTGATGTAAGTTTGTTACTGAACTGTTTTTGATACTGGAATTTGTTATTGGATTATCCCTGGACTAAAAACTGACTGATCTTACCTGTGAATGACTTTGGACTGTGTTTGAACTTTGCTTAACGTTTCTGAAAGTAAAAACCTACATTTACTGTACAGTGTATCAGTGTGCTGCGTGTGTATTATTCAAACACTTCTCTCACTACGTCTCCCTGTATGCGCTCATTCTCCTAACGGGGAATTACCTCAACAGATCATATTCAGTTTAGTTCAGCAGCACTGAATCAGCTGGAACCAACTTGCTGCAAGTCACTGCTTTCTTGTTTTTCATCTGTAAACAACTTCACACATAAGTTCTGTATGCATTCAAAAAGGCTTAACACCGTACCATGCAAAGGTGGTGTTGCATCATTTCACTTAGGGAATTCATAGAAATCTACAATTTGAAGGCTAAGTGCCTAAAGTTTTACATGTTGGAAAATACAGTTTCCTTCTTTAAAAAAAAACAAAAACCAATGAGTTAGGATTATTCAACATGAATACAAATTTTGAAGAGAGTCGTGGTTAATTAATTTGAAGTATTAGAGCTAATTTTCTTTCATATCTGGACTTTTTAGTTCCAAACTCCAATGCTATTTCTCCAATTTAAATTTACACTGCATTCTGTATTAACAACTACAATATTTTGAATCTAACATGCAGGAAAATAAAGAGTAAAAGTCTGGTCCTGACCCAAAAAAACCCCCTTTTAATCCATTTTCTAATCTACCACTATTAACTTGTATCCTGATTTAAGGTCTATCAAAGTAATTTTATTTATACTCTCAGTCTGCTTTATTACCAGATATGTATGAAGTCCCTCTATTTCAGGTATGTCAAACTCATGTCATCACGCCAGTATCACATGACGTATAGGGACTTTTTTCACTAAACTGGGTATGGCCAGCATGTGATGCATCTGGCCTGTGGGCCGCGAGTTTGACAGCCTTGTTCTATTTCATCAATTTATTTTAGCTTAAAGAGAGCTACCAATTGCCTCTCAGGGAATGAATTTTGGAATGTTTTTTCTTCTTACATTTGTTCCTTTCTTAGAAAGTAGCCCAAGAAGAAAAACCAGGAGTCATTTGCAACATATAGTGGAAGGACTGCAAGAGCTACTATAGTTAGTCCCCATATAGTTCAGAGTTATAACAGCTTTGGAAAAAGTGACTGGCAACCCATCCTCCAAGTTACAATTCTTACACTATCCCTGTGATGATGTGATTGCAATTTGGGTACACAGCAACTAGTGTGCATTTATGACAGTTGCAGTGTCTGGGGGATGTCACATGACTGCAATTTGCAACCTGCCCAGCAAGCTTCCAACAAGCCAGGTCAAATGAGGAAGCCAAAGTCACATAACTATGTGATTTATTTAAAGACCACATGATTCACTTAATGACCGTAGTGATTTGCTTAACAACCATATACAATGGTCAGTCATATGACAACTCAATGATTGCATAGTTTAGTGACCTAAATTCTGATCCCAATCCTGGTAGCACAGGGACTACCTGTGTGTAGGACAGACAGGCAGAAAACTAGCTGAGTGAATCCATGAATACCAACTAGCAATCAAAAGACACAATGAAAACTCTTGAATCTCACAACACATGGACGGACACAACCACAACTCAGAAACTGTAGGCATCTTGGACAAAGTTAAATCCCTAAATGCTAGGGAATTACTGGAAGTTTGGCATTCAGATAAATGAACCACCAATAGCTACCTGCTAACTGTAGAGATAAACCATATTTACGCACTATTCAAAAGAGCAATTAAAAAAACCAAAAAGAAAATTAACATCAACAATAAAAACGGAACGTATTCTCTCCAGCAGGCAACGCCCAGATAAACAAGCAGGACTAACAACAGACAAATAATCAAGTAGAAAATACTTGAAGCAAGGAACTATTAAGAAGAAAACCATACTCCCACCAAAACTGGCAGGGTGTGATAGAACATGCACTGGAGAATCAGTAGATTACGAGTTTTAGTAAACAAAGAGCTTTCCCAGACAGAGGCCCAGATGAAGAGACTATGCAGTCCTGTGCTGGATGGGGCAGGGGGGGAAGGGAATGAGGGTAACCATAACCTAGAACTGTGATGGCGAACCTATGGCACGCGTGCCACAAGTGGCATGCAGAGGCATTTGTGCTGGCACGTGAGCTGCAGGCAAGCCTACCTCACTGCGCATGCCTGCGCCTCACAGCTGATTTTTTTTCCGGTTGGTTTGAGGCCTTTTTCAGCCTCCCAGAGGCTTGGAAAAAGCCTCTGCAAGTCTTCTCAGGCCGAATTATAGGCCCGTTTCGTCACTTCCTGTAATACTGGAAGTGACGAAACAGTCCTATAATTCAGCCTGAGAAACCTTTCAGAGGCTTTTTCCAAGCCTCTGGGAGGCTGAAAAAGGCCTCAAACCAACCAAAAAATCAGCTGTGAGGCGCAGTACAGGTAAGGGGGTGGGGATTGCATGCGCATGTGCAGGGGGTGTGGGGAGGGGCGGTGCGCATTGCATTCTGGGTGCTGGCACGCTTGCAATTTTCAGCACAGGAGCCCAAAAAGGTTAGCCAGCATTGCCCTAGAATCTCTCAAGATATGTCTAGTAGACTAAAAGATTATAATTTTAGTCTGGCAAGATTCTGCCCATTACATCTAAGGAAATAAAGGTTTGGACTCAACTGGATCACGCTGCATAACCTTTGGGTTTGGGCCTGACAGATGGCAAGCTAATGTAGTTAACAGGGGAGCAAACTCTACACTCACTCGTACTGATGATGTTACCTAGCTGGATAATAAAAATTCTGCAAGCAAACAACCAAGCTCAGAGAGCACCAAGGACTCTACATTTCTTAGAATAATCATTTCAATGGACTGGCAGACACACAGACTGACGGGAATGTTTAATATTACACTGCTATCGCTACTCAGAACCTACCCTTAGCAAAGGATAATGCAAGTTCAGAGTACCCTGTAAGAAGGGGCATCCCATTTGTTTTTTCCTAGAAGGCAGGAAAGAAACAGATAGGTCATTCCGACTTGTTTGTTCCTGCAAACTTATGGATACTTAAAGGTTTCTTTAATTAGAGATTTTAAATGTCCTACTTTATGAATAAAGAGATCAATTCAAAAATACAATAGCACTTTTTTTCTAACCCAATAAAGATCAAATTAAACCTCTCTCCACTTCTTTGTGACTTCAGGAAAATAAATTAATATTTATATATTAATTAAAAAGTACCATACTGCAGAAATCAAATACAATACATACTTCTTCTGAAGCCTTTACCCTGAGGCTGGAATGCTCCGGTTGGAAGCCCGTAAGTACTCATACGCTGAACAAGGTTGGCCACATTTCCATGCCTTTCTCTTTTGACTGGCAAACCATCTTCTTTAGATTCAGTTTCTCTCTTAACCTCCTGGTAAATATAAAATGGGAAGTTAATTAACTATTTTGTTCATAGTAAAATAAATGTAGTACGTTTAGTGTAATTTCCCTGCCATACAAATATAAACTTGCAAAAATGAGCCCATTTAACAGGCACACGCCTAGAAAGCAGGTTCAGCGGAAGCAACTTAGCCAAGGATTTTGAGTTCACGTGTCTCTATATTCCAAAGTCAGTTTCAGGTTCCCTTATACTTATAATAAAGGCAATTCCATTTGAAAGGAGTATTGCTTTTGCATGACATGCTTTAGAATACTATTTTTTTAAAATTAATACTTTGTTTATGAATATATTTTATTTGTTTAAAATACTTGGCTTCTTAACTTGTAAAGAACAACCTCAAGCAGTTCAATAATAATAAAGCAATATTTATTTACGACCCTTGTAATCTCTTTTATCAGGGGGAAGTCAGGGCAACTGAATGCAGCTGAGTGTTTACTGGCCAGATGCCCTTCTTGAAGCCTACATGGAGTTCGCAGCAGATATTTTCTCTTTGTGCCCTGATAGAGAAACATCTGTTGCTACCTAGGATTGAACATGCAACCTTCCAAGCGGGAGGTGACCATCCTCTAGGCCACAGTACCACTCAATAATATTCGCAGCAAAAAACTACACCTTGCCCTGCCACCCACAAAGCATTCTCCCATAAATTTGCTGGCCTCCAACCTTACCGTAGCAAATAACACTGCTGAGAGACCCAAAAAGGCCAGGATGGATATACTAGCCCAAGTCTGACCTTTCCAGAAGTCATCTGCATATACCACACTAATGCTATATCAGCCTGGCCTGAATTGTGATTAACAGATAGTCCTCGACATTGGCACTGGATTTCCCGTCATTAAGTGACGCAGTCATCAAGCGTGACTACATTGCTTACTGAGAGCAATGCTTTTAGTCTCAGTTGCCATCATTAACTGAATCCCAATTGTTAGGCAAATAAACTTCCTGCTGGTTTCCCAGAAAATGGAACATTGGAGAGAGGACAAAAATTATCCGTTGATCTTGGGTTCAAGGATGGTCTCTTTAAGAAAGGGGTGCATCACTACCCCTATCCAAGCTGGGAGAACAACCCCCTCCCACAATGAGGCATTAACTATGGCTTGGATCCATTCATGTGTCATCTCCTTGGAATCCTTAAACAGCCAGGAAGAACATGGATCCAGAAAAACAGGTGGTACAGCAAGGATCAAACTCTTTCCAAATAATCGAAGTAAGACATATATCCCCATCACTTTCACAAGATATACCATAACCATCATAGTTTACTAGCAAACTAGATAAAGTATTAATTAAGCTCTTAAAACTTAATTAATTTCATATTAACTATTTTAAGCATATTAAGAAAATTTCCAGACTTCTTGATTTCTATTGGACAATTTTTTTTACTCTGCCCAAAAATATGGAAACCTTGCAGCAAGCTAAATAACATTTGACCTCTGGAAGAAAGTCATTTCTATGCCAGCAGGGAAAAAATATGATTCCTGGAACTTCTCATTTCCTTTCTCCCACAAATGGCAATCATGCAGCTAAGTAATCCTTGTGGTTTGATTTCAAAGACTGTCTTGAAATACCTCTTGATATATATGACTATATCACGAGGAGTTACCAATTCACGCCACATAAAAAGAAAGCTATGCAGTAACAGCCTACTATTCTCCTGCCACTGGCTGGAGTGATGTGACTTGATCCAGGGAAGCACAAGCCCTTACTCACACAGTGCAGGTAACAGAATAACCGAGTTGCAAGGGACCTTGGAGGTCTTCTAGTCCAACCCCCTGCTCAAGCAGGAGACCCTGTACCATTCTGGATAAATGGCTGTCCCAATATCTTCTTAGAAACCTCCAGTGACGGAGCATTCACCGCTTCTGGAGGCAAGCTGTTCCACTGGTTAATTGTTTTCACTGTTAGGAAATTTCTCCTTAATTCCAGGTCTCCTTGGTTAGTTTCCATCCACTGTTTCTCGCCTTGCCTTCTAATACTTTGGAAAATAAGTTGACCCCCTCCTCTTTGTGGCAACCCCCACAAATATTGAAACACAGCTATCATGCTACCCCTTCTTTTCATTAGGCGAGACATATTGTGCTAAACATGACTGTAAAAAATACGATTTTTGTAATAAAGTTGTCAAGATCTGGAATGCTCTATCTGGTTCAATTGTTTCAGCTACAAATTTTCACAGTTTTAGTCACAAATTGACTTCTGTAGACCTCACTTCTTATTTAAAAGGTCCATAGAGGGGGCATAAGCGCAGTGAAAACGTGCCTAATGTCTCTGTCATTTTAAAAAACATTATTTCCGTTTTCATTTGTTTTGACAAATTACAATAAATAAATACATACATACATACATACATACATATACAACAAATATTCAATTCCTGTATTCTTTCTTCATATGTTTTAGCCTCCAGTCTCCTAAACATCGTTGTTGCTCTTCTCTGCACTCTTTCCAGAGTCTCAACATTTTTTTTAATATTGTGATGACCAAAACTGGATGCAGTATTCCATGTGTAGTCTTATGAAGACAATTATAAAGTGGACCTAACATTTCATGTGATCTTGCTCCTATCCCTCCATTTAAGGAAGCCGAGGATTACATTGGCTTTTTTGGTGGCTGTAGTATACAGCCTGCTCATATTTAATTGGCTGTCTCCTAGGACTCCTAGATCCCTTTCACAGTTGCTGCTATTGAGCCAAGTTCCACCTATTCTTCCTGTATATTTGGTTTTTCTTGCCTAAGTGTAAAACCTTTCTTTTCTCTACATTGAATTCCATTTTGTTGATAGGGTCCAGTGTTCAAATATGTTGAGTTCCTTCTGAATCTTGAGCCTATCTTCTGGGGTGCTGGCTATTTCTGCCAGCTTGGTGTCATCTGCAAATCTGATGAGTTCCCCTTCTACTCCCTCATCTAAATCGTTTATGAATATATTGAAGAGTACTGAGCCTAAGGCAAAACATTTGGGAACCCCACTGCTTACTTCCCTCCATGTAGATGTAGTTCCATTAAGGACTACACATTGAGTGAAATGTGTCATCCAGTTTCAAATCCATCTGGTGGTGGTGCTGTCTGAGTATTTTATGGCAACCTCAAAGGCCTATTCAAATAATACAGATTCTCAACTTACAACTACAATCCAGTCCAAAATTTCAGTTGCTAGGTGAGACAGGTGTTCAATGAGTTTTGTTCCATTTTATGACCTGTCTTGCCACACTTGTTAAGTGAATCACTGAAGGTATTAAGTTAGTAACCCAGTTCTCAAGTGACCTTCATTCAATATTCCTTAGTCATTGAGCAATACATGCTCAGTTCTGACTGTAGCATTTGCAAGTACTTTCCCAAATATTTTTGCATTACTCTTTTGGCTGCATAAACAATCTCGGTTTCCTGATAGGAAATGCTTTCCCCATCTCAAGCTATACATTTCTGTGTACTATTTATATCTTTACGTGACATCCAAGTTGAATTATTAATATTGAAGCTATGTAACAAATAGCGAACAGCAGGTAAAAACAATTTAAGGTTATCCTAGTGCAAGCATGTAAGCAGTTTAGCAGAGAACGTTTGAGTATTTCCTCTGCATTATTTTAAATTAATATTGTTCCCTATAGACGGCATCACAATTGCCGATATCACCTACATAAAACACTGATTCACAGTATGGATTCTATTACTTTGTGCATTAGACACAAGCAAACCCATCATCAATGCCTTTCTCCATTAGAGCTCAGGAAGAAATAAAAAAAATCTCTAATATAGGAATAAAAATAATTTAGAAACTATAACATTAATTATTTCAGTTACCAACAATACAAAAATTCCTCACCAAAATAAGTTTCCCAGGATAGTTACCACAAGGAAGCTGATTTAAATAACTGGATGCAAAAAAAATAAAATAAAGTATTCTGTTTGTTTCAGTCTTAACAACAGTTAGAGAGTTGGTCAGGTTTTTTTTTTCCAAAAGAGCTTTTATTTGGAAACATCTTAAAAATAGCCTGCTTTGTTTTTTCCTTTCAGCAAGGCTAAACAAGAAATGCACGATATAATCAATACCTAAATTCTGCAGCTTAATTTTACCTTGCAAAATTCATTAAAGTCCATTAAAAATGGAATATCTCAATCCATATCCCAATTATAGCATTATCTAAATCCAAATAAATACAGTTTGTGAAAAATAAAACAGCTGTCTGAGCCTGAAAAAAAAATATTATTTGCAAACAGTCCTTTAGACAATGCTATAACATTACATAATCACCTAAATCATTTTAAAAATAAAACCATCATGATTTAACAAGGTTTAGGTAGTAACTTCTAGCAAGAAATGTTTTAAAAGAACTTACTGGCTCTAAAGACATATTTGCTTCAACACACCCAGGTGTATGTGCTGCAGAAATTTTTACCTAGTTGTTGCAGTGGCCAAAGTTCAAATATTAACTAAGCAAATATTTCCTGGTTTGCCTACGCTTGTAGCAATACCTATTTATACCTGTTAAGGAAGATCAACAATCCTCCGCCCCACACAAAAAGTTATTATCCCTTTGTACTCAGTGGTACAATTCTCCTAAGAGAATAACTATCTGCAGCTTTATTGTACTGGCCATTACTCTTTTTCAAAAAATATTTTTTTTACAAAATTAATAATGTCCATCATCAGTGAGGCACCTGCTATTTATACCTCTCAGATCTTTTCCCATCTCTTTTCCTAGAGAGATATGCTTTGTATTTCTTGCTTTTTATTTCTGTGAATTTAGGATCTGTGAATATAGAAGAATTATTAAAGAAATATTAAAAATATTTGTTTAAAAAAGCTAATTCAACCAAAATGCTTGCCCAGTCTTCTTTGGTGCTCTATTTAACCCGACTTCCGGTTTGAAGGGCTTCGGTGACAGACAGGAATCCGCGATCGTGCACGGTTTCTGCCTGGGCTCACCGCTGGAGCGCCCCGAGCCGGTGGTGAAGAAGGGGGAAGACTGCCAGCAGGGTCGAGGAGAGCCACATCTCTCCTCCTCAGCTGCCCATTACTCCCTTTCTCGAAGGCGGTAGGAGCGGTGGTCAGAATGGCCGCCTCAAAGAAGAACTCAACTGGAAAAGAACGTGCAGGAGGAAGATAAGAAGTGAAAGTTTTGGCTGACCGGGCTAAGTTGAAAAAGCAATAACTAAAATGCCGTGGAATTTAAATTTTACAAGAAATAACATCGCTCCCAAAGAAGAGTCGGAAGCAGTGAAAGAAAGTGAAAAGGGAAAGGTTTGACTTTTTCTTTTCTTTTCTCTCCTTCCTTATATTGGCAATTAAGAATAAGAAATTGGAAAAATCCACTTTGGCATCAATAGGCAATTAAGCTGAAAATATAACTTAATGCCAAAGGGACAATAAAGATTTCTGGATATTAAAAACTTTTTCTTCTATAAGCAGGAAAGGAGAGAAAAAGAATAAGGGCAGGATCTGGAAGAGGGAGGAGACTGCCTGGATTTTAAAAGAATCTAAAGTAAAATTTCAGTAAGACTTCTAAAAGATACATTTTAACTGAAACTTTGCAACTAAATAGTAACCCCAGGAAGAGAAAGTAGAAAAAAAGCAAAAGCAAAAAGAAACAGCTTGTGTGTATTTGGATTACTTGGTGACTTGGATTTTTGGCTATTACATTTTAATGACTAAAATCAATCGGGTGATTGTTTAAAAATTTCTACAATGGCATTACTTTTGGATGAATTGAAAATGGAACTTAAAAAGTACAAATAAGATGCACAAGAAGGGAAGGGTTCCTTTGGCTTCGTTTTTCAATTTCTAGAAATGGAGATTTGGAACTATGAGAAACAACAAGAAAAGACTGCAAAACAAGAAGACTGGGACAAAGAAGAAACCATCTTTAATGAACAAGTAACTCTATGTGGGGAAGAAAAGGGAAAGTGGGGAAAGAGGATGGAGAATTTAAGACTTAAAAAAACAACTAAAGAAAAGAAAAATAATTCGAAAAATAAGTATAATACTGGAAAACAACAGAAAAGGGAAATACAGAAGACGGAAATAGAGGTAGAGAGACAAAGGGGTAAAAAGGGGAGAGAGAAGAAGAGAGAGAAGGAAAGGAAAAGAAGTTACAAAGGTCCGGAGCAAGATATAAAGAAACAGGACTTATTTAGAGATAATGGGTGAAAATTTAACTGAAAGTGGGATTCTGTAAAGGTACATGAGATTGTGTTGTTATATTTGAAATAGAAATAATTTTAGAAAATTGGAAACATATAATTAGAATGAGGGATAGAGTGGTTAGTGTTTGTGAATAAAGTAAATAAAATAAAATAAATGAGAAAATTGAATTAGGAAGGAATGGGAACATTTTAACTAGTCAATGTTTTATAAAATATAAGTGAAGAGGGGGGGAATTGATTATGGAAAGTTTATAATTGTTCCCATAGAAGTATGATATTTAATTGAAAAGTAACGTGAAAAATGTTAAGACTGTAATGAATATTAATATTAATGATAGAATTGAATTGGAATGGAATGTTGTTTTAATTATATACATTTATAATTTCTTCTTTTCTTTCTTTTTTTTAAGAGTACTGTGTGTAGTTTAAGAATGTACCAAGCAGAATCCGAATGGAAGTTATGTATTATATTGAGTGTTATAACTTTAGGGGAAAGATATAAAGGCGTCATACTCCAATCAGTAACTACAGGAGAAATTTTGTTTAATGAGAAAAGATAATAGACAATTGAAACAGGACAGATAAAAAATATAAATATAATTATTTGAATTGAGATGAAATAAATACAATAAAATTGAGGAAATTAAAAGAGGGGAGAAGCCATGTAGAAAATGTAAAATTGTAATAAGATATGGAATAGAATATAAAAATGAGCATGAACCTGAATTTGTGTCTGTACGAAGAAATGTAACCCGGGATTATGCTGTTTTCAAAAAAGAGGTTTTAATTGTATTTCTTTTCTCTTTGTGAAAACTCAAATAAAATTTACAAAAAAAAAAAAGCTGGGGTAACTTCCAGGGTCTGGCTTTTATATCTTAGTACAGACTCAGCTAAATGACATCATAGGAATGAGTCAACCCATCCTGGGCTCTCGATGCACCATGGAGGAGAATACTGAATTATTCACGTGCTTTAGATTGATGGTACCTACCCAGAGTCATTGGGAGTTGGATGGCATATACATTTAATAAATTATTATTTTTAATAATATGCTCTTGATACATTCAAGATTCCCACATCTAATTAAATCCAGATTATGATAGTCTGAGGATTCTTTAAAATTGATTCTATTAAAAATAGTAATTAATTCTATTTTAGAACCAGTAATAAAAGCAGAATATTGTATTTTAAATCAAATATATTTTATGGTTCTTACTGTCATGATACAAATTTGGAATCTGAAAGACAGGGAGGGATTCTTTGGCTAGATAAGATTGATAAATTCTGGACTATACAAGGAAGAAGCACAATTTTGCTTGTGAAACATATTAACAGTGTATAGAATTTATTCTATGTGAATTAAGGTAGCACCTTTAACTCAAGAGTTGCACTATTACTGGTTGGTTTCTGGGTACATTCATTTTATTGTTTTGTCAACTTTAAAGCTATCTGGATACTTTTGGGGTGACCTGATCTCAGTGGTATCTACTCATCTAATAAGATTAAGGACTGAGTGCTCAGGTTTGGTCCCCACTCTGGAAAACAATGGTCTGACAGGGATCAGCATTCCTCCTTGGATCAGGTCAGTGCCAAAATTATTGGCAGTTAGAAAGGCCATTATGACATGGCTTTCTTCAGAAGTCTTTTAGGCATGACTGAGAATTGAGTCCTCCTCAGCTGTATTCATCATTATTTTGTATATGAGTTTTCTTGCTGCAATATCACTGGTTTTTAAGTTATTCATTACACTATTTTTAGGTGATGTAATGAATAATTACATTATTATACAGTAGTTTGCTCCTGGTTGCTCCTATTTCAATATTTTCAATATTTATGTGAACAGGGTGACTGTGTTCATATTTTGAATGCTATATGTGCAAAGAAGCCTAACTCATAAGTCATGTTTCCTGGCTTAAAATTGTAGAAATAGACTTTTGAATTTTTATGAAAGAATAAATAACATTTGGAGCTATCCAGGTATATTTCTAGTTTTGCTCAGAAAATCAATTTTAAAAATTAATTTTTGCCTATCAGTGAAATAGTATCCACTAGTAAAACATATTATTTTCTTTATTACCTACCAGGACATATTGATGTCACAATTTCCTGCACTCTATTAAGTATTTCAGATGGGAAGGTCATGATTAGCATGTAAGGCCACTGAAGGCAAGCACATATTTTTATCATGACCAAGTTGTCATGTATTGAATACCTACTATTCTACTTGCAGTTCAGTGCACAACTAGCATCTACATATAGAAAGGATGTAGTGATTACTCACTACAGAAATATTAACCAAAGGAAATGCTATCAGTCCTGCCTTAGGCATGAAAGCTGGCTAAGTGACTTTGGGTCAGTTACTCACTTCTCAGCCCAACCCACCTCACAAGGTTGTTGCTCCAGGAAAAATAGGAGGACAAAGGAGTATTAGGTATGTTCAGCCTTGAGTTATTTATAAAAATAATAGGCAGGATAAAAAAAAGCACACTGAAATATCTTATGTAAATATGCTATATTACACCACTCTTCAAATACCCTTTTCTGATCTCTCAGCTAAATTCTCACCAGTATAACAATAGCTAACTTATATACCGCTTCACAATGCTTTACAGACCTCTTTGCACAGTTTACTCCCAACAATCCTCATTTTACCGACCTTGGAAGGGTGGAAGGCTGAGTCAACCTTGAGTCACTCAGAATCGAAGCGCCAAACTGTTGGCAGCAGGCAGTAAGCAGAAATAGCCTATAGTACTGCATTCTAATCATTGCACCACCACAGTTCTTAATATAGATCTAATAAATAAAGTTACCCAACAACTTTAATGAAGAATGAATGCTTACCTTAACAAAGTTATCAGGGAACATGCCCCTTTTCCCATTTAGTTCTCCTTCTAGCCATCCTTCCTCTTCAAGCTTTTTCACATTCCTTATGATTTCACCAACTCGAATGGTTAGCTCATCATCATGTACAGCATCATAATTGTATTCCACAACATATTCAACTGGGGTAAAGGAAAAAAAGTCAGCTTAGTTAAATAAAACCTATAAAATGTAAAAAAAAAATTGACATTTAAAAAAATATAAAGTGAAAATGAACCCTGAACCCTGACAACTGTACTTTATGAAGTCTCTCTTACAAATTGCCCTGATTTTAGATTATGTTGCAACAGTAAATTTAGTTGTTAGAAAATAAAAAGAAGTACAATTTATTTCTGTATAAATTATCCAACACAGAACACATTCAGCTGCACCTTTTTGGAAGTTCAATCTATACCAAAAGGAAAGGGCCACATCTTTTCTGTTCTAAGGGATTTATTCTGTAATCATAAAACTAAATCAGAGTGAGCAGTAATTCTTCTCCTTTTCTTCAATACCCCAAATTTTAAAACAGTCATCCGGAGACAATATAATCACTGTTGCAAAGATTACAATCACACAGGTATAAGCAAAAGAACTTCTCCAGTCATGAGTCCTTTTGATTTTGTTTTGATGACTGAAAACTTTCATCTCAGCCTTATTATAGCTTTTTAAAATTCAAAATATAAAAAGAAATGTTACTGTATTAATTCCTCAATATATCCCCACATAAACTGCTTGTTAATTAGTTGGCAAACCAACAGAGGATAGGCAAATATTTTCTGCCTGTCATGAACAAGTTGTTATTATTTTTATAGTTTGTCACACAATCAGCCAAGTGTTTAGACTGGATTTGGTGTTTTTACCCCACCTATCAAGTCCTTCCCAAGGACCCAAGGTAGGTAGATGTTGTTGCCTGATGGTGTTAAAAGTATTATTGCAGGATGGAAGCTGTTCCAAGTAAAGCTACCTTTTATAATTAACTGATTGTGATTTTGTCAATGCCATCAGTGTTTATATGTTGTTCTGGTTATTTTGGAACTGGGCACTACTTATATGGACAAGGTTGGATCAAGAAAATGGAAAAGTGTGATTAAGTCAGCCCGGGTGCTGTCCAGTGTAGATTGCAGCACAGACCACAAATGATTGGTATCAGATAACTTTGAAAATTGAAAAAGTAGATATGCTAGAAAGATTTGACTTAGAGCGTAGTTAGACTGTAAGATCAACATGAGGAATAGATTTGGTACTTTTAATTTATGTGAAAGAAAACTTGAAGGACAAGATTGAAGAGAAAAAAAATCCCAAAATGAAAAAAGTTAATGTGATTTGTATAAATTAAATGCCATCTTCAGTGTACATTATACATAAGAAAACTATAAAAAAATAAAACAAAAACATACATTCACATTCTATGCAATTGAACTGAAAACCCCTGATATTGCATTAATATTGCACTATACAGTTGAATTCAATAGTTACTACCCTGGGATAGGTATATATTTGAAAGTAAATATTGGCTTGTTTTCTTCTTTTAAGCATTTATTTATCAAGATAGCCATTGCCAAAACCCAACACTCATTTCTGTCATGCCCCTATCGGAGCCTGAATCTGCGAAGGAAGAAAAGCCCGAGGTAGAACTGACAGAGATCGAAGGGGGGCTTTGTTGGCTTCATAGGAATGTGAGGAGAAGCAGGCCGAGTCAGGCCAGGGCCTTTCAGGATTGGGACGGCTTGTAGGCAGAGACGACCAGGGGCAGGATGACCAAGAGATGGCAAGCAGTGAACATGAGGAGTGACAGAGTTCAGGCGATGAGCAGGGACCACCCCCTCCTGTTCCCCAAGCGCGAAGATGGAGCGAAGGCGAAAGCAGCACAGGCTGACCCGATGACTCAGGAGGTCCCGAAACCATTGCCTTGTTCCTTTGCTTCCTGAAACCATTGCCATGTTCTTTTGCTTCCTGGACTCATTGACCTATCCCTTGCCACACTGGATTCCTTACTTTGCGGTCATTGTGCTCACTGGACTACTTACAGCCAGAGGCTGCTGGAGGTGTGTGTGTGTGTGTGTGTGTGTGTGTGTGTGTGTGATCACTTTGCTCAGGGACTTGCCATCAACATGGGAGCGTTTGGGGGAAAGTTGGAGCAATAAAGGGGCGATTTGAACTATCAGCTGACAGTGTTGCCTCTGTGCCTTGACCTGGGTCATCACACTTTTCTAAGGTGCTTCATCAGAAAACACTTGTATTAAGGAGCACCTAATCTTGTTATCTTTGCGTGAAAAAACACCAATCACCATTTTTTTAAATTTTTATTTATTTTTGTCAATTGTTTACAAGATAATAGGTACAAGTAAAAACATAGTTATGATTACATGGATACATATAAGAAAAAAAATAAAGGAAATGGGCGTTGGTAGAAGTTACCGTGAACGCCCTTTCTATCTATGCTGCGAGAGAGCCCAGGATGGGTTGACTCCTTCCTATGACGTCGTAGCTGAGTCTGTACTAAGATATAAATCCAGGCCCCAGGAGAGACCCCAGCTTTGGCAAAGATACTTGACAGACTGAAAGGTGTCTCTGAAAGCCCAAAATAAATACAGAAATATGTCTTACCCTCTCCAGACGAATCAAGGGAGGGGCTGGGCTCTCTCACAGCAGAGATAGAAAGGGCGTTCAGGGTAACTTCTACCAATACCTATTCTCCTCCATGCTGCATCGAGAGCCCAGGATGGGACATACCCAAGCTTGCATGTCCATGGGCGGGTCCTCGTCTGGCTCATCACACCGATTGTTGAACCACTCGTTGAAGCACCCATCTGCCGAAGGCTGCAGTTGCCGAGGCAAAAGCATCCAGACAGTAGTGTCTGATGAAAGGAGACGGGGATGTCCACATGGCCACACGACAAATCTCCTCCAAGGATGCTTGGGTCACCCAGGAAGCCGAAGTGGCTGCGTTTCTGGTAGAGTGCGCCATCAGACCTCGGGGAACTGGAAGGGCGGCAGCTTTGTAGGCCTGCTCAATGCAAGACCTGACCCACCTGCTAATAGTAGAAGAGGCCTTGTGCCCCAAGTGAGAAGGGAAAAAGGAAACAAACATGGCTTCCGACTTCCTGAAGGAGGAAGTGCGCTTAATGTATATTCTAAGAGCCCTTCTTACATCTAGCGTGTGCCACTGCTGCTCTAAGTCATGGTGCGGGAGAGGACAGAAATCAGGCAAAACAATGTTCTGGGACCTGTGAAACCAGGTGTCAACCTTCGGAATAAATGAGGGGGCAGACAAAGAACAACCCTATCACCGTGAAAGGAACAAAAGTCCTGTCTGATGGAAAGAGCAGCAAGCTCGGAAACCCTCCTGGCAGAAGTGATGGCAACAAGGAACACTACCTTCAGAGTCAGGAAACAGAGAGACACTGTTCTAAGGGGTTCAAAGGGGGGCTTTGTAAGGACATTAAAGGACCAAATGAAGGTCCCAGGAAGGATACCTGTGAACCACCGGAGGGTGCAGGTTGGAAGCCCCTTTCAAAAACCTCCTGACTGAAGTGTGATGGGATAAGGAAGGAAGCGAACCCCATGAAAGGACTGAGGAGAGGGCCGCAACCTGCCTGCGTAAGGTGTTGGGGGCCAAACCTTTCTCCAGCCCATGCTGAAGGAAGCTAAGAACTTCTGCCAACTGGGCTGAAGCAGGAGAAAGACCTCCCCTGAGGCACCATCGGGAAAAAGCCTTCCAGGTGGCATCATAGATGCACCTTGTAGAAGGTTTGCGAGAAGCCAGGATAGTGAGGATGACCCCTTCTGGAAATTAGAAATTTTTCTATTAAGCCCCTCAGGGTATAAATGGCCCCCGGGTTTACAAAACAGCCGCTCACCTCGTGGTGAAAGGCTTGAATCCAAGATGGCCACTGACTACAGGAAAACAGGCTCCAAGATTGAAGAATCGCTCCTTAGGCTATACAGAGCCCCGAGCAAAGTCAGCAAGGGAAAAACACAGCAACCAACTACACGATCAGCTGGCTTGAGCTCTTATCAGTTTGCCGATCGCTTTTTAGACCGCTCAAACTGCAGGCGTGGGGGAGGTCTGCAGACGCTGCCCAGCTTGCCTGCACAGAGCTCTGTGATGCTGCTCCCAACGTTGCAGGGATCTCCTGAAAGAGCAGCTGCCCAGATCCCTGGGAGCTGCTTGAAGAGAGGAAAAAAGTACTGAAGATCACTGGTGATTGCTATCTAACAGAACACTTTCAGAGACACAGCTACTGACTGAAAGGAGCTTAGTCAAAAGCTGGGGTCTCTCCTGGAGGCTGGCTTTTATATCTTAGTACAGACTCAGCTATGATGTCATAGGAAGGAGTCAACCCATCCTGGGCTCTCGATGCAGCATGGAGGAGAACAACAGGACAAGGACGGTAGGCATGTTGGTGCACTTATGCACACCACCATGATGTTTACAGTGTAGGCAGGCCCTCCTGATATGAAGAATGAATGAAGTGATAACTCATTAAAGCTTCTTCGAGCATATTAATTACATTTATAACAGAGTAACTCAAATTCAAACCAATGGAAGTTACAGGAAACTAAACCAACCACTTTACAAGAAAATGAATACTATAAGATAACTTTATAAGTTCACTCCCAAGAAAAAGAAATAAAAGGCAGATCTTGACTTCCTTAAGAATATATCCTGGCAATTTTGAAAGGAAATCCAGAATCATGTTATGTGAGGTTGGTGGCCCTGTAAATTTACTAAATAAATAAATTCAATTTCAGTTTTAATATTTAAAACTTCTAAATTCATTCTGTTTACATATCAGAAATGAGAGATTAGGAAAAGAATTCAGCAATGTTTGATTACTTTCTTCAGTTATTTGGATACTCTAAAGCAGGGGTCTTCAAACTTGACAGCTTGAAGACTTGTGGACTTCAACTCCCAGAATTCTTCCTCCAGTCATGTTAGCTCAGGAATTCTGGGAGTTGAAGTCCACAAGTCTTAAAACTTGCCAAGTTTGAAGACCCTTGCTCTAAAGAATGAGTTACAACAGTTTAAAGAGAGTTAAATTAAACTTTTTATTTTCACCCATGGAATCTTTCATACAAATCAGCTTTTTTTATTGTTTCACTATGCCAAACTAAATTGTGGGGCAATTCCCTTTCA